ATTTAGTAATTTGCTGTTTCTGCAGTTTTATTAATGTTTATTATCAAAAAACACTGTGCTGAAACTGTGCATTTCAATGTTTTTATGTAGAAAAAATTGCTTTAAGATACGAGAAATTTGACATGCGAGCGTGGTTACGGTTCGAATTAAGCTCGTAAGGCGGGGTACCACTGTATTTCGATACGGCCAATAAATCGACGAATCGAACACGCCTTCGTATTCAACTTCCGTCATTGAGGTTACGGATTCTTTTTCTAGCAACACAACCCATTCGAAACCTGTACGAATCGTCATTTCAATGTATATATATAAAAAAAATGCTTTGAGATACGAGCAATTCAACATACGAGTTTGATTATGGTACGATATAAGCTTGTAAGGCAGGGTACCACCGTATTATGTATATTATGAAAAAAATGAATATGTTTATTATTAAATATATTTCTTTTTTAAGGATTAATTTTCTATTAGAGAGTACAGAAAGGAGAGAATAATATTACTTCAAATCGTATAAATTAGTAATCGACTTTAAATTTTCAACCCTTAATGTTTTTAATAGTTAAGTATGACTTTTAAAGTATTGTACTATAATATACATAATACGTGTCGATTCCGTCAAATTCCGTCATTGAGGATACGGATTTGTCTTCTAACCAATTCGAAACCGGTAAGAATCGTCGATTTACTACCAATCTTCCCGATATCGATATCGATACAATCAATATGCACCGGGCGTCGTGCCTTCGTACCGCCGCGGCACCTGTACCGGGCCGATGATCTGTGTCAGAGTCGCATGCCCTACACGTGATAATATGGAGAGCGAGCGTTCCGACAAATGTATGAACATGTGTGTCAAGTTTTAACCCACTGACATCGATATAAATGTATATGAATGCAAACACGAACGACCGACGTTTTTTCTTCTTTCCATATTATATCTGACGGAGTCAAAACCGGAAGCACCGGATTTGAAAATTGGCGGAGCGAAATTTCGTATGCGCGGTGAGTGATTGGAATTAGATCAAATTTGTTGGAAATGATACCGGATTGCTGAATTAGAATGTCGCGGAAATGATTACATACATTCATTTATTTGTAATGCATTGTCTTTGTCGGGAATAGCTCAGTCAGTTGCGTGCCCGACACACACACCTGAGATCCATGTGTCGATCCTTGACAATGAGATAGAATTTGAAATGTTGAGATGAAATTAAACAGAATTTGAATTGTTGATTTGAAATTGCCTAGAAAGTAGGAAGTAATTTGAAGTTAAAAAGAATTTGAATTGTTGAGTTGAATTTGAATGAAATCAGAAGAAAGAAAAAATATGATTAGAGTTGGAAAAGATCTTTTTTAGAAGAAAAAGTTGTAAAAAGCAAAAAAAAGGGTTAAATTATATATATATATATATATATTATATATATATATATATATAGTCGTATGTAGATGTATGTCTTAATATGGATATTTTCGAATTTCCTTGCTCCCTGAGATTAGCTCTTAATATTGTCTTTTAGATAGTGCGCAATTCAATCAAAGTTTTGTATATATTCGACGCTCTACAAAACAAATTATAAAAAACCTGTTTTGCAGAACGTCAAATTTTCAATGAAACGAATTTTCACTTTTAATTCATTTGTCGCTAAGTTATACCTAAATTTTTTTTTATTTTCAGAATTGTTTTCATGCTATTTCCATAGAAAATTTGATTGAATTGCGCCCTATCTAAAAATTAATATTAAGAACTAAAACTTTAAGAGACTTGTTTTTTATCAATTTGGAACCATTTGAGCCCTTTGGAGCAAGGAAATTCGAAAATATCCATATTAAGGACCACTCTCATATATATGTGTATATATATATAAATATATATATATATATAATAAATAAATATATAGTTTAGAATATACATGCTCAAAGTAAGCGAGGCCAATAAAAAAGCATTATCTATTTATTTGATGTTTTATAACAGCGCCATTACTTTAGGATTAAATCTATTTAACTTTTTCGAAGAAAAGTATATTTTAGCCAAAAAATCCGACATGCTGATTTTGTGTATTCTCGTATTTAAGTCAATCTGAACTGTTTGACAACAAAATTGAAAAGCACGTATTAGTATGTACGTAACCCAATATTTGACATTTCGAAGACGTTTTCTCAAAAACTGCTTTAAAAGACAGGAACTTGTAGACGTATCTATTTGCTTTGCAAGACGATCAGCCAAACCGTTTTTATAGAATTAGCAGAAAAGTAAAAAGGTTTTTGCAAAAGAAAAAGCTCTGCACCAACTCTATACTAATAAATCATTCCTGTTCTATTGTCTGGAAGTCCTGAAACTCCTCTTTAAGTGAAATGCTCCTTACACTTATGTTTGGATATTTATGTACTATATGACTAATGATTTTAAAATTTTACAAGTCTATAAATATTACTCAAAAATGAATAAAAAAAATCCAGAAAGCTACAATTTGGTTGAAATGAAGTTTCAATCTTTCTGTTGCTCCAAATATTTCAAGCTATTAGTTTCCATCAGTAGGTACTAAGCCCTTGTAAAGAACACTTTTCGTGAAATATGAAAAAAAAATAAAAATAATTGGTAGCTTAGTAAAATTTTCAATTCCCTTGGGATGTTGATCTGGGTTACTTTATATTCAGAGATTTAATGAAGGAATGTTTTTGTCGTTCTGCGCCGTTGTATCGAAAGAGAAATCGAAATTTACGTGTGTTTTTGGGTCATACGTTTCATTCACACTTTGTAAAACGTAAAAAGTTTCTTCATTCTGCGTTTTTTTATCATTACGCATATCGGATGTATCTAATTGTCACCTTATCGATGAATAAAAGAAACAGAATCTCTTTTGGGACCTAGTTCTGACTCAAAATCAATGTTTGTCTTAAATGTTGATATTGGTATTTGCAGCATTGTGCTAACAGATATGGTCAAACAAAAGTGATTTTCAAATTTCACTACGTCCCATAACAAAATAGAAACGTTCTGTTTTATATTTTCACTCTGTTCATATTTTTATGATTTTATAAGTTCGCCGACACCGAATGCAAATCATATCTCCAGCAATTAAATTTAATTTTCCGATATTCATACACCGTGAGGTGGTTATTGGTATAATTGCCGTAACCACTCAATATAATCATTTTATCTTGTTCTCAATTTCTTATATCAAGTTCTCATTAAAAATATGCAAATACGTTTAATTATTAATCAGCAAGCGGATGCACCATATTAATCGTGGAAATTAAGTTAATAAATCAACTTAAATTGAGATCAATTGGCACAAAATGGACCAAGATTTTCTCGACGTGAATTCATTTTTTCACATGTAAATTATAGTTTAATCATATAAAAATAATTTCAAAAGGCATGCTTTGCGTGTTATTAAAAAGCAACATTGGAAAACATTATTTTCAATCGTGCAATCTGGAAATTTTATTTTTCTTGTTGAGTTTGTTAAATTTGTCAAATCATGCGTTTAGTGTATCATACAGTGTGTTTTATAATGTAAAGTGATTTGTGAATGATAAATACCATATAATTTCTGTCAATAGTCACATTTGTCAGCTAGAAATCAGTCAATAATCCAGTCATGTCTTTGTCAACGGAACAATAATAATTTTCTCATATCAACCTCCTCCTAAGCAATATATGTTAATGTTAATATGATGTTAGTGCATTAAGTTAAAAATGGCTTCAAGATCGCCCCCTTCACACAAATGACTTTTTTACAACTTTGATAACCATGAACTGAAATAAAACACAAATAATCGTTTTTAAATAAACAATTTGTCTATTCATTATAATTTTGTACATGGAGAAAATTTAATTTTGCATATTTTTACAACATAAAATATCAATGTTCTAAATATCCATGTCATTGTTTAAAATTTTTAATAGAAAAAATTATAAAGAATGACATCAACCACGGAAGCGATTTTTAACTTCAATGCAGTAGTTTTCATGTACGCATAGAAATATTATAAAAAATAAATATAAATAAATAAATAAATAAATAAATAATATCTTAAAACCGCTTAACTTTGTCTCTTCGTACTCAACAAATAAGTAACTATCAACACAAACATGTACATATACATATACACATACACATATATATATATATATATATATATTGACTTTAGAAATAAAATTGAGGCAAAGATTTAAAATTTGATGTTGATATTTTTTAACTTCACTAGCACGTTTTTCATTCTAAAACGAGCTCATCAATAAAGACTGCTTCAATTTTAACTAAGGCCCTTAATATGCATATGCACATGCATATATATATATATATATATATATATGTATATATATATATATGTATAAAACATTTAATAAATAACACAGCACACGTTTATACAGTGTCGTTGGAATGTTTAGTGCGGTCAAAGTCTTTTGAAAACAACGGTACAATGTAACACTTTAGCGCGCGCATTTTATTTAGTTATTAAAATATTGTTAGAGAGAAAATTATGGGCAGTAATGTTAACTAAATGTTGATTTCAAACATTGTATTAAGAATCATTCATCAATCATAAAAAAACTTACTACATAAATTTTTTGAACGATTTTTAATACACTGCCAGGAATCAACACGTTTAGAGCTTGTTCATGTATAACAAAAAACACTAAAAAAGTATGATTAAGATTTTAATATAGTGTCAAAAACGTATTTGGAAAATATTTAATGATGTTAAGAGCTTTTTGTTATAGCCTGAACATTCCCAAAAATCCTTAACACTTCGCACACTTGGTAAAACATTGTCACTACTGGCAAAGAGTCATTATTTAACAGAAATTTCACAAGCTTTAATGCATTTGTTTGCTTAAGAATCACTTTACTAATTTAAAATTGGCTTTGAGTATCTATTACTGTGACAATGTTGCCCTCGTCGTGCGACCTATAAAGTCTATCGTGTCGCTTTCTTCGTTTTGGCAACGTTTTTGCGCGACTTTTTGTGATGTTTGCCCTTAGTCAACTCACGTGCTTTCCTCGCCTCGATGACATCATCACCGATGAATTCGTCCTCGTCGTCATCGTCATCGTCATCATCGTCATCGGTATCATCATCGTCGTCGTCATCGTCATCAAGTGCGTCAGTTATAGAGTCAGCTTCGTCATCATCGTCATCGTCGTCGTCGTCATCGTCATCATCGTCATCGTCAGTTGGTGCTTGTGGTGCCAGTGCTTGTGGTGCCAGTGCTTGTTGTTGTTGGACTGGTGCAACTGCTACGGGATCCTTTTCCACGATTTGAGGATCGTTGACCGAGGATTCTTCGGCCAAATCGTCGTATGCGTCGGTGGCTGCATCGCCGGCGCTCTCACCAGCATAATCTGCGGAAAATGCGTCCTCATCACCTACTGAAATAATTTGGGGTTGGACAATAGGTGCGGCAGTTGCGGGTTGGGCTAAGGGCACAGCCGGCTGCGAGATGCCGGATGATGGTGAAGGTTCATCGTCTTCATCATCATCGTCATCGTCATCATCGTCTGCAGAAGAAAAGAAAAGGAAAATGACATAGAAGCAACACACACCAAATGAAGTCACATTTTAACTGCGTATTTACCTCCTAATATGTCGTCTAAGAGACGTTCCAAGTAGTCGTCATCGTCGTCATCATCATCATCATCTGATCCTGCATCATCGTCGTCATCGTCATCATCATCTAAGTAGAAATAAATAAACTATGCATTATCCAATATCACATTCTTGGTATGAAATATTTTTTATCTATCACATACCATCTCCTACGTCGACATCCAAAGCATCACTAATATCATCATCGTCATCGTCATCATCATCATCGTCGTCGTCATCGTCGTCTTCAATGGGTGCAGCTGATGGTGAGACTGCTGCAGTTTGTCTTCCAGTTGCTTTTGCTACTGATTGAGGTACTTTTGGTTCCAATGCTTGTTCCCTGGGAACTTCAACTATTTGAACAGGAGAACATAGGGCTGATAGCGCCAGACAGCCTATTACGGCTAAACACAGCGCAAACTTCATCGTTCTGGGAAAAGGTAATAAAGGATAAAATTAGATTTATTCTAATTAAATAATATAGAGCAATTAGCAAAACTACTTACTAAACATAAAGTGGATTTTTGATTTTGGATTAAATCATCTTTTATAAAAAGTGACAAGAATTCTTATTAAACTATCAAATGACGAAGAAATTATAGAAGGATGAAGTGGATCCTTTGTATGATAATAAACAAATTAATGTAGATCGCTAAATAAAGACAGGTGGTTGAACTTTTCCGATGGCCAGATATAAATATTATATGAAACTCTGGTTGTTAATATATTATATTACTATTATAATAGTTCAGATTTTAATTACTTTCGATTAGTTACACCCAACTGTGCATTGCCTTGCGCAACAAGCATGTAATGAGAGGTTTTCTTGTGTGTAATGTTTATGACGGGCAATAAATAATATCTTCACTTGGAAATAGCGTGAGTTATGCTGGAAGTAATATTTATAAAAATCGTAATAGTAAGAAAGATTTTTAAGAGAATGCGAGAATACAATTGATCGGGAAGGATACAAAAACGAGGACTATTTTATTAGAATTATTTTGCAAACGATTTGTATTGAAATAATATCGTTTTTGTACACAAAATTATCATCAAAAATTAATATAAACATAAGTTAACTTTAAAAATAAATTATTTTAGTTTTCGATTTTTTGCTTCCAATGCACAATATATAGTACAAAGCAATTTAGAAAAGAAGATACAATCGCTTAAACGATAGGTAAGAAGGGTCATTGACGTGTTTTGTCTTGTCATGGAATTGTAGGTACCAAGGATTCCCAAAGGCAGTACAAAGTAATATTTTATATCCGAAAAATCTAAAGTATAAATTTTATATATACCTTTGATTAATTTTTTTTTCTCTTTATGAATTAATTTCGCAATTCTTTGAAAAATTCTCTATACGAATCAATTAATTTACAAAAATCATTAATTGCAAGTGCACTTGAAAAATATTTCTGACAATATAATAACAAATTTTCTGTAAGGAAAAGAAACTAAGAATCTACTAATTAGGAACATATTAATACTAAAATAATTTTAATTATTTATTTTGAATTCAATTTATTCAAAACATATTTTTACAAGAACTAACAAGAATGGTTATTAAATTGTCGCGTGAAGTGATACTTTATATAATGAATTATTATAAATTAATAAATTATAATATGCACTAGACATTTAGAGTAAACACTATGTCTTAGTCATATTTTACTTAAGAAATTATATAAAAAATTTAATTATATAAAAACAAAACTCAATAGTTTAATGAGCTGTTATGATATATTTTACTTGACTCGCCAGAAAATCCGAGACGCAAGTAAATCCGACACGCCAGAAAATCTGACTTCCTAGCAAATCCGATATTAATACATGATTTTACTTTTAAAAACACATTTTTTTACTTTTAAAATTTTTCTATTACCGACGGTAAAGTTTAATTTGATGTATATTCAAATATCTCAGAGGTGTTCCACCTCCCAATGAGATTCTTCTATTTCTACTGTGTTTATTTATCCTGTTTGAGGTTAAAATCTTTAGTAGCAAACTGCATTGTTATGTAGTTCCAAACAATAGACAAGAAAATCCGTTCACGCAACAAGAGTTTATTCTTCTTCTAATTTGTTTTTCCGTGTTATGAAGATCACGAACCATAAAAAGACAAGCTACTTAGCAGATTGTTCAATCAAGAGAAACAAAATACTTTAAAAACAGCGAAGGGCTTTTAGAATTTCAGGAAAAGTATTCAGTGTTATTGGATTCAAGTTTTAAATAGTAATAGTTATATTTATCAGAGAAATCATATTTAATCATTTACAAACTAAATATATTCAATAGTATGCTTCGTCTAATTGTATCAAAGTAATTATTGACTTTATCTATTTTTTTCAATCATTTTAAATTATTTAACTGCAGATATTTCACTGATATGCATGTCATATCACATTGTTAAATATAAATTGTTTGAATAATTAAATATATATTTACTTATATATATATATATATATATATATATATATATAATAGTTTACAAAATAAATTACTGATTTTACTGACCAAAGAATATTAAATAGATTCAACGAGCAATTTGGGTGTAACGACTTCAAACGCAATTTATTTGAAATATTTAATTTATGAAAAGCATATTTATTTTGAAAATTTTAATTTGAAAAAGATTTTCTGAATTGCTTTAAGAAAAGTAAACATATGCTTTTTGTTTATGCTTTATATTTAAATTTTTGATTTATTGCCAATATCCTCGCTTACTTAGATCACTTAGCTACTATTTTACCAATTTTATTTAATATCCTATACTATTTTTTTTATTTTATTTAGTGGTTCTACAACATATTGATTTTTGCACATTTTCAGGTTTTAACCTTTGAAATCAATGAAGTTACAAATACATATGTTCTGCAGAAATTGGTATAAAAAATTTTTACTAGACACGATTTTAAAATTAAAAGAAGTTGGTTGAAATCCATATTGGAAAAAGAATGAATTCTGTGCCACATCATTAAAAGTAATAAATTTGCAGTTTTAGGAAAATTACACAAGATAAAAATTATAGAAATTACAGAAATATAAAAAAAAAATAAGAAGTTCAAAAAGTATGTATCAAAATGAAATAAAACAGAAAATCAACCTACTTTCAAGTGGAGGACAAATTATAATGAGAATAAAGGTAGGTATTAAAAATAATATATATATATATATATATATATATATATGTATAATTAAGAAAAATGTTCATATATCATTTAATTATTCTAATGCATATTTATAGACATTTATATAAGACAAATCTTATGCAAAAAAAGACATCTTTCAAAAAAAATGAGCGTCCCATATATATTTTTAGTAGTTTCTAAGAAAATTCTGAATTTCTAAGTTCATATTTTGACAAAATTTTAAATTAAATTAGATAGCAAATTTTGCTTACCAGTATTGCAAATTTAATATTATTACAAATTCATATTGCACACCGTTGTGCATTAAACATGAATTAGAAAATGTTAAAAAAATGTTTAAGTAGGAACAATCTGGATACGTCTAAGAAATTTAAATTTGCGTTTTTTATTCATATCAAAACCATAGCAGTATTTAACAGTTACTTTGATGATTGTCATGCAAACATAATGTGTTATGAGTTTGTTGGGCTATTTAGCACCACGTTGATCCACATTGCGATCTTGTAACGGCAAAAATATGGCTACATTAAAAAATCGAGTTTTTTTAAAATTATGTAATATACTTCAAAATTACTAGTACAATTTTCCTTATAAAAATGCCGTAAGCTATCATAATTGAAAGCTCCTAAGCAGAAAAGTTGATCAATATTTGAAAAGTGTACGATATGGGTGCAAGATGATTCAGATTCTTCACAAGTATTTAACATTATAAAATTTAACTGCTACTGCATTTCTAGATAAAAATGACTTTTTGAGAATACAAATAATAATTCTAAAAATTTTATACAAACGATACGTGTTAAGATTTACAGTTAATAAAATAACTGTTAACATTCGATTAAAAATTAACTGGAGCATCAAGATCGTTTTGGATTAATTATTATAATTAGCGATCCATCTTAATTATTTGCAAATTATTAAATTAGGTATAATTTAGCGAATGGTATAAAATAAATTAACTATATCAATGTAATATTTATTGGTTAAAACTAAATTACTGTGCAATAAATCTCGTGAAAGTATAACACTTCATTTATAATTTAAAGTACTAATTGTAATATAGGATGCGTTGCTAAAATATAGTATTTAATTCTTCATATATTTTAAATAGAAAAAGAAGATTACTAAAAAATATAAAATACTCTTTACAAATTTAAATGTATATCGTGGGAAAATCCAAATTTCTCAAAGTTTATTATACTATAAACAACGCCCTAAATATTTGTGAGACTCAAGTAGAACAATAATTTGAATACGAGATCTTTAGTTGGAATGTTTAAATTCACACTGGGAAAATAGAAAAGATCATCTAGAGTAAATTTATGTATAAAATCTTACATCACAAAATAGAAGCATCAGTTGGCGACAAATTATAAATTGTAAAAGTGGTATTTTGTGAAAGTAAATTGATAAAAGGCATATCTCATAATTTTAATATATATAGAATATATATTATAGATATATATCTTATATATATACTATATATATATATCTATCTATAATATATTAAATCATTTTTATGATCTAAATTTACGTATCTAGCGTTCAAATTAAACTTTCAAATTTGAAATTTGAAATTAATATAGTCCATTGTTTAATAGAACTTATAATAGTTCTATATTAAAAATATAATAACATCAATAAAAGGCATTGCAATTATTGTTCTAAATAGAAATTAAAAATTGAAATATAAGCTAATATGCTATGTGAGTGAGAATTCAGTTAAAACTGAATATTATCAACAAATACTATCAACAAATCATAATTAACTACTACTTAAATTTTTAAATATTTTTTCAAAAGTAATTTTTTTTATGAATATGTTCACAAGTGTGGTAAGTAACAAAAACATTATTATATTTTAATTTAACATTTTTTAATTAGTATGAACGGTATTTTAATAGATTACTCCTTTATCACTAATATTTTTAGATGGATTCACCAAAACAACAAATATTAAAAAATATAATCCGAGTCCTAGACTTGAAGTTGAATTAAAAAATGCACTTACCACATCGTGCACAATTACATGAGACATATCCAACAAAAACCACTAATTAAAATTAAAAATCAATCACGACACTAAATTTCATTGACAATATCGAATTTTGGCAGCCCCTTTGGAACCAACGCTTTCCCACTTGGTGACCAATATTAATATCACTTCCTGCTACTCACCGGATTTTGGATTAATCAAAATCAAGACTTCCGGATGGCACTACAACACACTGAATCGATACGACGTATCGATGAAAATTGATAAAAAACTGTATCCAAAATATCGTTTCGTTCTTTTGGCTGGGCTACCTACGGCGTTGTGCTCAGCGCTTTCAATTTGGTACGCGATTGCTCTGGCAATGGCAATGGACTTGGCCTTAAGTAGCGGCGTTTTGACGCTCAAGAGGAGTAGAAGAATGATGGTAGCAACTCACAAATATACGAGAGGGGAATGCAAGAAAGAAGCCGAAGACACACAACCACTGGGGAGATCCGAGCGCGGACCTGAATACCGCCACAGATCGCGGCTGACGCTAGGTGAAGGCGAGACCAGGTGAGGCGAGGCGCCGCTGACGAAAACGAAATATCATAAACGAACTTATGCACAAATCGACTAAAATCATTTTTGAAGAGTGAAACTTCTTAGGATGCTTTTACAAAATTTTGAAAGTAAAAAATTTGTATAAATTGGGTATAGTTATCATTTTAGATTTTTTAGTTTAGAAAATATGTTTAACATATCTAAAGTTCTCACTTGTGGTTAAGTGATCAGAGCAAACTGGTTCTGATTCAGAGGTCATGGGTTCGATCCTGCTTTGAAGAGCCTGATGTCAAGCAGTAGTGACATACGTTATCATTTGGAAATATAAATAGCAATATTTTTTCAAGTGAAAATAGTTCGCGTCCGGCATTGCTGCATCCATAAAAATATTCGCCCTTTTCGCAATGAATAATAAAATTTATACATCATAATCATATAATTATCACACAAAGATGAGACACACATAGGTTGCTTAACATATAAATTAGCTCAATAGCTTATGAAATCATTAAGTTGTATATATGTTAAATAAGTCGGGTTTTCCTTCCTGACGATTTAACTCCAGAACGCACGAACCGATTTTCGACAATTTTGCATTCGTTGGAAAGGTCTCGGGCAAGGTTTATAGCTAAGAAAATTAGTGGTGCATGGCATCGTGCCATTTAAAAAATCATTGTTTTTCACATAGGCAGTTACACGTTGCCTGCTCACAAGTGGAAAACCATCCGCTTTGTTTGTGTTAACGTCAGACCAAAAAACAAAAAATTTGGTTACTAAAGAGCACTTCAATGAAACGGATAATTTGCGGATTCACTTTCATTTACTTAGAGAAGTTCAACTAAAAAACACTTCATTTTGTAATCGAAATAAATTCATTATGTTGTGCAATAAAATCAATTTTTCCTTTTCAAATATAAAACAACAAAAAATGTCTTCATCTTTCTCACTAAACCATCTGGTGGCGAAACGGAGTTCGTCGGGTTTGCTAGTATATATATATATATATATATATATAGGGGAAAATATAGATAAAAATCTTTTTTCCGGAAAGGAAATGATAAAATCTATGTAGGGAAAAATATAGATGAAAATCTTACAAAATCCAACTGTTTACTACTATTTATTAGTAAAAATAAATGAGATAATGGCACTGCTTGTATATAAACTTTTCTGGTAATGATAAAATCTATGTAGGGAAAAATATAGATGAAAATTCTTACAAAATACCAACTGTTTACCACTACTATTATTAGTAATGAAATAATTATTTTTTTTTGTTATAATTTATTTTGTTAATTAAGATTTTTAATGTCTTATTTATTAAAACTTTCTGGAAATGATCAATCTATATATTCTATACTCACTCTACTAGAAATTTAAGCAAAAATCTAATTGCTAAATCTAATTTTTTATTATAATACTTTTATAAGTTTTTCCAATAACACTACAATAAATATATTAATTTTTTATATGAATATACGATATGCATGTGAACGATAAAAGTCAAAATTTAAAAAATATTAACAATAAAAAGAAAAGTATGACACATATAGCTGCCGATAATGCCTATTCGGTATTTACTATTTATTAGTAAAAAAAATCTTGTGAGATAATATCTGTTCAATCATTTTACAACAAATTAAAATAAAAATCAAATTCCATTTATAACCTTTATCATAATGTTTATATGATAATATTTTTTGGCTGAACATATAGTTTAGTATCCCTGAACGTTTTAAAATTTCTAGTAAAATATATAAGAAAATATTAATTTTTTCATATAGTATGTATGTAGGGACTAAAGTCAACTTAAAACAATGCTATGTCGAACAATTAATTTAGATACTATAAAATATGACATATTAATTGCCGATAACCATTTGGATAATAGATAAATCGAAAAAATTATGAATGGGATTGACAACTATAAACAGAAAATTCGAATAGAAAATAAATATAAGGGAGCCATTTAAAGTTCAAACATTAGGCTCTAACAAAAAAGTAATATATATATATATATATATATATATATATTATATATATATATCGATATATAAGTTCATAAATATAAGCAATCTAGTCAAATAATTTACAAAATAATCAAAATCCAGTATTCCCTATATGTCCAATTATAAAAGAAAAATCATTATTAGAAAGTAAACTTTTTTTAAGATTGCTCCAACTTTCCCTTTCTCATTCGGTGACATTACGCCGAAAATTAAATAACGTGTACAAAATGCAGACTCATATTTTTTCACAGAATAGAAAACATGATTAATCGGTAATAATTATATTATTGAATATGAGAAATGGAAAATTTATATTCACGTCTTTGTAATATTCATTGTGTTTAAAATTGGTTTGCGAAATTTATGATAATTAGAGGTCAAGATAATAAATAATAATTTGATATATATCCACAGATTTTTAAACCAAGTTTTTGCCTTTTTCTTCTTTACAAATATTCGGATTTTTTAACAAAGTTTTTGCCGTTTCATTTTTTCAAATTTCAAAGATTATCCATGAGGTATATCCATGGAGGATTATCTTGAATAAACCCATATAAGATTTTTTTTATCTTGCTTTTTATTATTGAACCTATTGTTTTTTATTTAAGCTTCGGATTTTTTTAGCATAAATCCCATAGCCCTAACCACTAACACACAGTCCATCCCCCGTATAAAAATAATATTAATTAAAATAGTGCTTTAAAAAAGGATTATCTTTAATAAACCCATATAAGATTTTTTTTAATTTGCTTTTTATTATTTGAACCTATAATTTTTATTTAAGCTTCGGATTTTTGTAGCATAAATCCCGTAGCCCTAACCACTAAGACACGGTCCAACCCCCGTATAAAAATAATATTAATTAAAATAGTGCACGTCATGATGATTTATTAATATTTGTAAATAGGTTTTTTATAATTCAAACATGTCCATATTTATAATTTGATTTATGCATATAAATTATTTTTAATATAATACAAAATGCATAAATTATAAAGTGTTTTAATCCCTAAAGATAAAAATAAATTAATAAATATATAGATATATTAATAACACAAATTTCCATATACTGTATTATTCATCCATTAACAAAATTTATAACGGAATTCTAATAAGATTCTCAGTTGAATATCTGTATACCTACTGCAATAGAAAATATGAGTCATTTTTGTTACGTAAAATGTATTTGGTACTTTAAAAATAAATAATTAGCATTTCTAAAAACATTTATCTTTAAATTAATTCATATTAAGAATATTGAAGGCTTGTTGATGATATTTTTTGTGAAATTTAATTGAATAATTTAAATGTGCAATGTAACAGTACAACGTGCTATACCTATAATAATATTACATTATTTTTGTTAAGGTTATAGTCAAGCCCTTTAGTATCTAATCACTTTAGTATCTAATAATCTATCTAATAAAATAATCTCATTTAGTATTAATAATCTAATGCAAAATTTAGTTATTACAGAACAGCATATGAGAAGAAATTATAATTGTATTTCGATTTATAGTAATTATAAAAATTAAAACTTTAATAATCTTATAATACGCGATGTGAAAGCAACTCGTAAAAAAAACTCATGATTTACTGCAAATTTTGTGGCCTTGATACGTCCTTGTATGTAATCAATATAATACACGAAAACGGTACTCAGAACTGGATTGTTAAGAAACTTTTATCGGCCCAATGAATGTATTAAACTTTTATCGATATATAATGGATGAAAAGAAGAATATTTTAAAAAAATATGATACATTTATACTGCATAATTACTTAAACATATTACTATTAACAAATAAATATTAAATTTGTCTAATGATACATATTTTTGCTTACCATCGTTGATTTTACGAACTATCATTGATCACCATTGATTTTACTTACAAAGATCATTGTTCTTATTTTATATAAATAAATAAATATATATATATATATATATATATGCACTTTAAATTTCACTGTCATCACTTTGTCACTGTCACACCTGAATTACCTAATAAAATAATAACAATAGCTATTGACTCATGATGTCCTTCATCATCATCCACATTTATCCATAGATGGCTGTGAAAATTAAATTCGAGGAATTTCTTCACTAACTAGGTGTAGATGTCCTACGTTGTCCAGAAGTCAACAAATTTAGTAATGGATTTTGATGTGAATGACTTACCCGTGCCTATGTAGTAAGAGCTTTGGCTTTGTAACCCAAGATTTACCTGTAAATATAGATGGTAATATGCTTCCAAGTGGAAGTAGCCTTGGCCAGACATTACTGCATCTAAAATCCCCAGATGATCCCCAGTATAAGAGATTTTTTTTAATTACAATATTTATTACAACATAATTTAACATCTAGCAATAATATTGAATTATAACATAAATTTAAATAAATAAGAGTACAAAGGATACAATTTACATTAAAATGTTATCCGTAGTATGATGATTTAATATAAAATAAAAGCAAATAATAATAAAAATAAAATTAATAAATAAAATAAATAAAATTTGTGGATAATACAATAGTATGAGAGAAATGATAAAATTTCTACTAAGAAGACTTGGTTAAGGATATTCTTCACAACAAAGAACTTATAGAACTGCTATGTTCTGATTACTGTTCAAAATTAAAAAAACAAAAATAATGTTAAAAATGGAATGGGAAGATTGGCATCTGATAAAAGATTACCCCAGACTATTTGGTCACAATACCTTAAAAATGATAAAATATGGAGATAATGCTTTATTAATCTGACCACAATTCGTTAAATCACGTGAGGTTTTATGGGGAAAAGGGGTTTGACAAAAAATCACGAAATATCACGTGGGGGAGAGAGGGGTATTGTAGATACCACGTGTATTTATTTTTTAACGTTTTTTTTTTAAATCTAACATTTTCAAAAAAAAATAAAAAATTTTACAGTTTATCACGTAACTAAAAAAACACGTGATGTTTGGTGAGGAAGACGGGGGATAATTTTGAAATCACATGTATCACCAAGGGGGAGGGGCGTCCAAAAATCCTTAAAAACTTGCTCAAGTGATTAATGGACAAACCCTAACTTGTTTAACAAATACTATAGTAATATAATAATAAATCTTTTTGAATCTTTTTTATTATTACTATCATATATTAGAGATTTCAATTACTACTTTAGTATTTTAATGTAGAACTTCTTTAGAGATCTTTGCACAACGAGCATTTTGCG